CCTGATACTTTTACAAAAATTTCGAATTTTTCACCTTCAGTGAAAATGTCAGTGAATAGCTCTTCGATTGTCATGTTCTCCTGATACTTTGACAAAAATTTCGAATTTTTCACTTTCAGTGAAAATTTCAGTGAAGAGCTCCTCGATTGTCATGTTCTCCTGATACTTTTACAAAAATTTCGAATATTTTTCTTTCAGTGAAACTTTCAGTGAATAACTCCTCGATTGTTATGTTCCCCTGATACTTTTTCAAAAATTTCGAATTTTTCACTTTCAGTGAAAATTTCAGTGAATAGCTCCTCGATGTTCATGTTACCCTGATACTTTTGCAAAAATTTCGAATTTTTCAATTGCAGTGAATACCTATCGAACGAAAAAATTGGAATTATTTAAAAAAAAAAAATGAATGACGGCGGGATCGAACCCGGGCCGTCGGCGTGATAGGCAAGCACGTTACCGCTAGGATAACGCATCATTACAATAAAATAATTTAATTAGGAGTATATATTTTGCAAAAGTATCGTTTTAAAAAATTGTTAATTTGTCAATTTCACAGGATATCTTTCCGCTTTTCAAAAATTCAGTGTTTAAACGATATTTACATTGATTAACCAATTAAAAAAAGATAAAATTGAAATTATTTAAAAAAAAAAATGATTGACGGCGGGATTGAACCCTGGCCGTCGGCGTGGTAGGCAAGCACGTTACCATTAGGACAACACGCTCATTCTGGAATCATAATTTCATTAGTGGTATATCTTCAATACATTAAATAATTTTTTTCATTGAAAATCCATAAGATGTGGTTTCCCCCTTCCACACGTTCTATAGTCGGCTAAATTTCAGTTAAACAAATGAAAAACACCCCGTCGACTTGATGGACACCCCAGCATTGCAATAAAAACTTGTTTAATAAAAAAAAAAACACCCCAGCATTGCGTGTTGCGCCCTCCCTCTCTTGGGGTGCAGTACTACGATGCCGCTGGGGTCACTCAAACCCCCAGAACTGAGCCTCTACTTTAGTCAATCCTCTTTGATTCAGCCAATGAAATTCACAAGATCACAACCTTACCGCCACCTTTCTCACACCATCCGCATCCCAAAAGATGAGAATGCCATCCGCCATGACAGCTAATGTCTTTTCCAGCGCTTGACGTTTCGTCGGAACATGACATTTTGCAGATTTAATTTCACCAAATGGCAGACTCTTTTTTCGGATTTCCAACTTCACATCCAGTGAGTAAAAACCAGATTAAGTCCTTCAAAATTCACCCGTTAATATTTTCCCGTTTGACCACTGAAATTCTCTCGGAAATAAATCAACACCACCGTATCTGCAACTGCGACGCGTTCTCCTATTCAATCTCAATTTTTATATAAATTTTATGCAATTGTCTCCTCCACCTGTCTTTAAGGGAACATCCTAAAAATTGCGCATGATTTGTTAATTTTTTCCTATCAAAATAAATCACACAAACATTGGAGTAATACTCGGACATGCCCTTGAAACAACTTGCTCGAAATGCGGTGTCGTTGCCCCGAATGCTCGAACCATCTACACACATAACCTCAAAATCCTAGAAAGCCACCACATCAAATCAGATTTTCTGGGAAAATTAAGAGCTATCATAAAAAAATAGCAACGCCACTCAAACTATCACTATAACATTTTCCAAGATATAACTTCTATGCATTGATTCCCAGGTTTCTCTCATCCCTCCCCCCATGCTCAAATCCAAATCCACATTAATTACAGAAAATCATATCGGTTCCCATCAATTAAAAGGGCACATAACTGATACAAATTTTTAAGTACTCCCATTTGGTCTCAATCTATAAGACCATTAGTGGATCTGATCGATATCATTTAAAAATATTCAACCCTTACCCCGAAAAAAACCCGTTTTGATCCCAAGAGACCCTTTCCAGGGAAGCGGATTCGATGACGCAATAGATTGCCCTCAAGACGATGACGAAGTGGGTGAGGAGGACGAGTACGATGCTCTGAATGACGAAACCTTTGGTGAAGATGCCACCGACGGTGATTGGGAGCAGAACCACGAGAAATTGGCCCAAATAACTGAGTCAACGCGTCCCTTGGTGAATGCACCTACCACGAAAAATGGCCTTGACGTCGACATCGAGGGGAGCCTGTCCCACCTGGTACTAGACGAGAAGGACGGAATAGTACCTCGACCAGGAGTATGGGACAGTCCAACTCTCCCCTTGCAGCCACAACCCCAGGTGCAGCCCCAGCCCCACCTGCAGCCCCCAGTGGCATTGAAGTTCATTCACACAGTTGAGGAGCTAGAGCGAGGCCTGATTCGACCACCCCCAGGCCTGGCGAAGCCTCCATCAACGATACAAAACACCCAGGCCCCTAGAAATGCCAACCAATTCATTCTCGATTATTCAGGTCTCAATGACCACTTGCCTGTCAACTTACGTCAAAATATCCTCAACGGTTTACCCCCTCGATTCCCTCCAGGTCTAGCCCCTCCTGGACCCCACTCTGTTATTCTCCCTCCAAATATCCGATTCCCAAATCAAATGCTCCAGAACACACGCCCAATGCCCCCAAATCAATCAAATCTTCTCAGATATCCCATCCCCCCTCACTTAATGATGAATCAATGTCAGCCAATGCACAGCAACTTTGTCGGCAATTTTCCCCAGCCTCCTATGCCTAATCTCCCCCAATTTCTGCGACCAGATCACATTATCCCACCCTTCGCCAATTCAACGAATCAACAACACCCAAATCAGCACAATAACCAGAGAAACCAGAATAGAACACATGGGAATGAGCCCCCAGCCTCCAATCATCAGCCATTCTTCAAGAATAATCTGTACTGGCATCAAAATCGCAATAATCAGAAGTACAATCAGCATCATCGTCATCACCACAATCATCAGAATGAGCTCAATGACAATGGCGAATATGATGAGTACTCTGGACTCATGAGCTCCAGGGAGAAACAATGGTTGACGAATATTCAACTACTCCAGCACAATACTAATCAACCTTATATCGACGATTACTATTTCACTGTGTTCTCGGAGAGACAGAATAAGAAGAATCATAATCATGAAGGGAAGGACAAGAAACAGAACAATAATGGATTTGGCAGGGATTCCAGAGATAAAGATGGGCATGTGCTGACAAAAGTTGTTTATACACCGACGCAGTTTGAGAATTCTCTGGGAAAGCTGCAGTGTGGGAGTGTGACTGCTCCGAGGAAGATCATTGACATGGATGTGGTGCCTAATGATCCTCAACAGAATCCACAGCAGAAGGACATGAAGAAGACGCGACAGAGGCTTTTAGAGATCGAGAGATTGTACACGATGCAGTTGAAACTGGAGGACCTCAGTAATCCTCTCGCTCAGGCTGCTGAGCAAGTGGAACAGGCCCAGGAGAATGAAGCAGAACCAAAGCCTCCCAAGAAGACTGCCCCTGAACTCATCAATATTTTGCTGACTTCCCTCATTCAACTGCTGCATGAGGACAAACTCTCCGGCATTCTGAGTATTCGGAAGGGGAAGAATCTTTTGTTGAGATTTTTACCGTTTTTGAGTGTGACGGAGTATGGACCTCAACTTGGGGAACTCTGGACTGGGCTGCTTAAGGGACTTGCCATTGTAGGACGGCGAGATGCTTATTTGCTTGTCAAGTTTTTTCCTGAGTTTCATCGGTGGATCGAGACTACCAGGGACTTTGGCACAGTGTTGAGATTGGCTAGAGGATTCTTGGATTCTGTCAATCAAAATAGCAAAATTAATAATAGCCTCGCTTTTGCCGTGACTAATAAGGTAGGTGAAAAGAATGCATTTACAAATTCTATTCAACATTTTTTAAATTGCCCCTTTAAATTGAAAACAGTCGTAATTTTGAAAGAAAAATATTTGAATGCTCAATAATGATTATATATAAATTTGAATGTTTGAAATATTGAAGACTGTAATTTTTATAAATTTATATTATTTAGTTTGGTGTATCTGTGATTGCCTCTCTGCTGGAGCAAGCTGAAAATCTTTACCCTGAGGACAAAGCAATGACATCAGAATGGTCAACATTCATAGTGAGTCTGTCAGAGACAGTTGGCGCATCGACACCCAGTGTAGCACCCTGTCAACCAATTGCTGCCAATACACTTCATCAGCACCTCAAAAGAATTGGCAGTCTTAAAACCGAAAGGTATGAACCACTAGAATCACTCCTCACAGACGCAAACCCATCGCGATAGACTGATTATCCTACTGCAACTCTAAAAATCAACAGTCATCTTTCAACCTGTTGAAAATTCATTCTCCACTTCTGAACGAATACGATGGAAGATTGCTTTCTGTTTTGTGTAATTTAAATTCGTCATTTGTTTTCATTCTGGGAGTGTATATAGAAGTTGCGGTTATTATTTGGGGACAAGAGATGAGGCATGAAATTTATTAGGATAAAATGTGTACATGGATTGATTCATATGTCTCGTTGCACTGATTGAATCTAGAGGGAAATGGAAAAAGTTTGAGCAAGTACGGAAGAAGTACAACAATTCATTAAGAATAGTCTCATTTTTTTTGCCTGCTCTATCGTGACATTTTGGCACAATTGATTATTAGGTTGATGCTGCGTTACAAATAATTTCACAGTTTTTTACAATTCTGTGTAAATAATTTTCTCCCATTCAGATGTCATTATGAGTGAAATTAATGGACTTTTTCATTTCGTTGCGAACACTTGTACTGAGGAGGAATATTTTCATTTCTAACGGATCATGCAGGATTGTCAGTTTATTTGCTGGAATATTATATTACCTTATGTACGCTTTTACTTTTGTACATATCGTCAGATTTTTTGTTTCCCTATTCTAACACGAAAATCAGAATAAAAGTAAAAATGTAATTAGTTCAATTTATCAGTGGTGAAAGTTTCAATGACTATTGATGAAATCAATTATGCTTATTTGGGAGAAGGATTGAGATGATATTTCACTTTCACATTTTCATATTATATTTTTCGGGTATTCTGGGAGTGATATTGAGTGACGAATAATCGATTGTAAATACCAATGATGTGTTGAAAAATGAAATTGGATGAAATTTCTTTTTTTTCTTAATGCCCTATCTGGTTGCGCTGTATTCTTCTTAAAATGTGACCGGGCAAAATAAAAATGGAACAATTGTCTGAAATCATAGACGAAGCGTCATTTAGATAGTTTTTTTTTCGGACGCTTTGAATTTTTTCTATTGAACAATAAAATAGACATTTTTTCAATTTGCATTTGATATCGCATTAAACAAAAATATATATGATTAATTAATTAAAGTAAATTAAAACATATTCTGCGTGATAATAATACGCATCGGAATGATAATTTTTTTTTTTTAGTGGTAACGTAAAAACACCACCTAATGAGAACAAATGATTAAATTACGATTTAAACCTGCCTTAACTCAAACCTATTTAGTAATATGTTAAAAGATGAATAGGTGGTTTAGGCATTGACGTTGATTATTATAATATATTAAATATACACGTAAACTAGTTTGAATAAACTTGATAACTTTTTTCACTATGATTGTTATCACCGGAATATTATCGATGGAAAAAGGAAAAAGAAAAAGGAAAAAAAAATTGAAATGATAAATGGTAACTACGGCAATCGTGGAGTGCTTTTTATCGTAATGCAATGCTCAATGCAAGCGTATCATTTTTCTCAATGACGTTTATGACGACTTGATTGATCATTTCATTTCTCTTCCATTAAAAAACAGAAACTATTATTTTGATTGTATGTGTAATGTCAGTGGCACTAGAACTATTCAGCGGAAAAATTGAATTTGGTAATCCATGTATACTTGAATTTATCGCGTTACATTATTATATATTATATTTTTTCTATTAGCAATAATTGCTTTCCGATATGTTCTTCACAATTAATATTTTTTTAATCATTTATTACGCTCAGAAGAAAAAAAATCCTCCCCAAAAGAACAGGAAAGGATGATTAATAAATGCGATGTACTTTTTCCGTACTCTTTGTATCAATATTGAATATGTTTTCTTTCCGGGAATAATTGAGAATGGGGAGATATGAGTGATTGTACATTGATAATGCTGCCGTGGGATTAATTAGTGTCCGAAGAACAGCAGTTTTGTCATTAATTGTGTATTGTATGTACAAAAGAGAAAAGAAAAATTGATCAGATTGATAAATTGAAGACGTAAATAAATGTTTTGACATTATCATCTACCATTTGTCTTGTAAAATTTTCCAATCCCTCATGATGAAGTGAGTATTTAGAGGAATAAATAAAAACAGCACTAGAATAATAAAAATTCCACATTTAATATTAATTTATTGAAGACATAATCCACATATTTAATCATTTTGATCTGAATTAAGCAACGAAATAGGGTATATATTATCCATTTTATCTCACAATTTACCTTAAAATAAATTCATACATTTTACTGGCTTTTTAATGATATTTTCCATAAAAAATGAAAGAATTGAAGAATCGTGGATCGGAGAATGTGCCTCCGCCCCATCACATCTTATCGCCATTTCCAGTCCAATGGAAATTGCTCACTACACTAGTATCACTATGAATAAGACTGCATTCTTTATTCTTTATGTTTAACTTTTCATCGAGACGAAATTCATCTGCCTCACCACCAATGATCGAAAACCAAAGGAAGCATTCGTGGAAGTGAATCGAGTTGTTTCACTATTTCTCCATAACCGATGAACAAGAACAATGAAACGTGAAGTTTCAATTATTGCATGCCGCACCCTTCCTAAATCCAATGATAAGAAAAAAATTGTCCAAACAGTTTCATCACATATATTCTAATCCTAGATCTACTCGTCTTATTCCTATACTTTAAACTATCATATATATTTACACCGATCAAGTACGGGCTGTGATAATAACCTGGCAACTATTACATTAAAATTCGTCTTTAAACTAAATCAATCGAGCCCCACAGATACACGACTGCTATTCCTCTAGAATGGTATAAATCTAAGTACTAGAAAATATAGATAACTTTTCTCCTCTCAATGTATTAATGTTCCATCAACAGAGGGTCAATGGCATTTTTCCATTCAACTCAACTTCCCTTTTACGTAATTAACGGCTCCAGTAAAACATTCATCGAATACTGAACTATATTTTATTCATATCATATGCTTTGTACTACAGTGTTTAAGTTGATCATTGATAAGTACTGAAGAAATTTTACATCTAATTTTGTGAATAATTCCAGTAAGTTCAATTTGGCAGTCACATGAATAGTGTATATTTCTGATTGACAATAACCCGAATTCAAAGTATTAATAATTAGTATCTAGTATTCAGAGGTCTGATATTCATGCTGCTTCTGCTTCCTGATGAATTCTTCCATAAATTAATAAATATACAATATCAGTTTAATTGGCACACTGCTTAAAGGGATTCTCAAGTTGAACCAGATTACATTCAAATTATCAATAAAACTCTCTATCAAGTCTATCATAGGCAAGACATCGTGATATTCTCTCCACATTTACAAATTTCTACTCTTGATATTGGATTTCATCACCGATAAAGAATATCGCTAAAAAAGGACCCGTTATAATTCATTGTGCGACTGAATAGTTCCGGTGATATTTCATCGACAAAAAATTATCATAGTACTTTACTCATTCATAATACCGAATTCGATCCAATGAAATACTGTTTTAAATATAAGAATCACGTGCAGTTCACATTAAATTTCCTCACCAGTACGAAATAAAAAGCTGGACGCATGTATTGGACGAAAACAATGAAGAACCTGTCCTCAATAAATCCAAAAATCAATTCTAATTCGTCGAAAAAGCCAACAAATAAAGCAAGAAGACAGATACATCATAATTGACAATGATTCCAGGTGGCTGAGGAATCTTCACCGAATAATTCACTCCTCATTTATCGTAACGAGCACTATATGTTATCTAGTAAGAATTTCCGGATTTTGGCTCTGCATCTCCTTGCTGAGGCTCTCAGGGTTTCCCCCTTGGTTGGACAATCTCACCGGTTTGATAGATTTCAATTTAGTTGTCCCTCCGTATTTGAAATTAACGTCGCTGCACGTGTCCAGTGGATGGATAGTTCCAAGACTCGAGACAGTGTCATTGGTATCATCCAACTTGGTTGTTAGGATCTTCTTCACAGATCCCAACTCATAAGCTGATTTTGTCGGTTTAAGTTTCATCTTGGCATTCAATGGTAACGAGGTAGATTTCTCGAGACTTCCAGTCTCAATTTTCAAATTATTGTCACTCTGTATAACATTGTCAGTTGTTGTATTAACTGTGTCAGTAATTTGTATGTCAATATTAACTGTCTTGGGATCATTCTCGTCATTATTATTCAAGGTGTGCTCTCCAATGCTTTCATTTCTCAGTGCTGCCATTTGTGCACGCTGTTGCTTGATGTGATTATGAGAATTAGCGAAAAACGATGACATTTTCTCGAGTTTAGTGCCGAGATTGGGTTGGCTAAGGGCTGATTTAAGGGGATAGGGCGGCTCCATATTGCTCTTGAGAAAAATTTTTGTCTCTCGCCCTGTAGAATTGCTTTTAGTAGGCTCGTACCGATTATTGTTATCCTCAATGACTTTCAGGGGAAATGATTTTGAGCTGTTGCTTCGGCGCTTTTCAGCGAGACTGAATTGTGCTATGATTCGTCGCACATCCCCAGGTACTTCAATGTCAGTTCTAGCCTCCACTAATTGTTGGACGAATGAGCCTAGAGTGGCGACGGTGACCTCTAGACTTCGATTTTGGGACTCTAGTTTATGAACTGACAGTTGCTGTGATGATCTCGTGCTTTCGAGACGTTGAATATTGTTGACTGCTATTTCTAATTGTGAATTCAAGTGAGCATTTTGCTGAGTCAATTGCTTATTCAACATTTCCAATTTCTCCATGTTTTCAATCTGGGGTTTAACTGACAACATCTCTTCCTGAAGAACTTGATACTCAACTCTGTACTCATTCAATTGCTTGGGAATCTCCAGATCTGGATAGAACACTCTTTTCATGACTCGGTCCAGGATAGCCTTATCAACTGCTGGGACTGTGACTTTGAGGTACTCCATGATTTCCTCGAAACTGTCGCACATGAGTAACTGATCCTGGTGCTCCTCCAAGAGGGCAAGAGCTACTCTGAATATTACCTCAGAGCTTTCGAGGAACAAGAGATCGAAGACCCTCGTGACGAATCCAAGAGGGAATTGACTTGCGAAGAGAGTGAGAAGCCAAGGGGCTGCATAGAGTGTTGGCGAGACCTCGTGTTTATCGAAGTGGGCGTAGATCGAGGGTAACCTGTCATGAAGCAGTCTAGAGAGTTGATAAAGGTGTAGCTGGAGAGCAGCCATGTCTGGTAAGTACAGTTTCCTCAGTCCTCTCCTGAACATGAGGTGCCTGAGAAGAAAGAACGCCTGGTCCTCAGACATATGAAGAAGTAGAACCCCAGCGACAAAGCTGAGGCCCTGGCAATATCCCACCTCGTGGTCCAACAAAGAATAAGCCTTCAGGAGATTGAATAGTGCCAGCTGACCTGGCCCAAGGGGTGAACTAAAATAAGGATGATTGGGAAAAGTGCGACCCAGATCTATCAATATGGCGTGCTGTTGAGAGGTTAACTGTTTCAGAAGTAAATCATAAGGTGTATTGTAGTTTGGAAAGTCTGTGGTATCGATTGGTGGCATTTTGAGGCAGAATTGTTCAGCCAGAAAGTGCCAAACATCCCCTCTTTTACCCCTGGGCACTCCCTGCTTAATCGCTTGAAGAAGCATTTGATTATCACACTTAGTCGATATTCTACTCTCCTTGCTAACCAGCAGATCCCAAACCTCCGACAGCTCCCTGGCGCAACTGCTCAATTCATCGTACTCCAATTTTATCCTCTTCATTGTCGCCTCCTCCTGCCTCACCCTGAGTCTTGTATTTTCCTTCTCCATTCGAATCAAAATTACCTGCTGATTAATGGCCTTTTTCCACAGATCTCGTAACTCCTGTTTAGTCCTCTTCGGTGTGACAAGTACATTATTACTTGAATTTTTATCGTTATCTCTAGCGTCCTGATCCTTTCCGGGAGTTACCACACGATTAAGTATGGCTTGCCTCCAAGAACTATTGGACTGCAATCGAGTATTGTCCTCAGCCTCAGTGGGCGACATCTTTGGCGAGTTGCCCACCTTGAGGAAAATATCCATCATGGGGCTCTTTGGTCCTGTATTAACCACCAACTGTTGCTCGGGGGATACCCTGAGTGATCTGGGACGATTAGACTCCGGCGTGACTTCTCCCATCATCCCAGGCATTGATCCCACAGGACTTCCCCTTTCACTCCTTGAGACATTGCCATCCCTAACGTGTGAATTTAATCCGAAATCATCCCTCGATCCCTTACGCTTCATCAGATGATCAAACGAATTGGTTAACGATCGTTTTGCCTTCATGAATATAGTACTGCCCACTCCAACACTCAGATACTGATTTAAAAATTCACTCCTCTGCTCAGCAGTATCATGAACATGTCGTGATTGCTTGGACTCACAGTGCGCACGAAGCAGCATCATCAAAAATTGATTTTGCTCACGTAAGCTGAACTCACGACCAGAGCCACCAGCTGCCTCAGCTCCCTTGTACTTAGTGACAACGATCTCCTGTTCGTCCTCTGGTAGCAACTCCATGCGCGTGAATATGATACTCTGGGTCTTCCTGTCTCCCTGACCTTCAATAGCTTGACAAAGATTATTGTACCACACCATGGGACAGTGCTCACACTGGAATATTGGATGGCGTTCTTTTTTAGCACCGTTGCACGTTGCTATAAACGCCTGCGTTATAGCACCAACAAGATCATCAGCAACCGATGCTGATTGACACTTAAATATATAACCGATAAAACACTCGGCAGACACCTCACGACAGATAAATCCAAAGTGCTCGGGATTCTTCAGTCCTTGAACGCAACTCGCAATGTCCTTCAATTGTTTGTGAAACAGCACGCCTTTTCTGTCGGGACTTATGAGCCTGAGATCACAACGACCGACCTAGAGGAAAATAGAAATTAATTAGTTGAATTGAATTCTCAGGCTTTCATAATTTCACCGGAGGAATGGACCATTTACGTGGGCATTCATTTAAAACAAATAATTTACCTGGAATAACATAGTCCGATTGTGATCGTCATTTCCCCTGGCTGCTGAGCCTCTTCGGGGCCCTAGGACACTGCCAGTTGAGGCTGCCCTATTTCTCATCATTTCTGGTGGTTGCATTGTTGCATTGCCACTTTTTTTTGCCTGATGACTCTCGGTCTCGCTATCGCGGGCTGGTGGGAGAGATTCCACAGATCCACCCAATGTTGTCACACCGAGGGGACTCGTTGGAGAAATGATACTTGGGACTGAAACATTATCACTGCTGCCGAGATCACTCGTTGACGAGTCCTGCAATTTTTCAAAGGATTCGTATCAATACATTTCGATTTTCAAGTGAAACCACCGACTTGATAGTTCGTAGAGCTTATAGGAGAGAAAATGAAACTGTAGAAGTGATTCTAATGAGTTGAAATCATCTTAGAGATGGGTAATTTAATTCTCACCCCACTGTCCCTGCGATTTTCATTACTGGCAGCTAGGTGAGCCTGCCTACGTAATTGCTGACACTCTGCGAGTAGATTACTCGCTGTTGATTTAGATTTTTCGAGGCCATGAGCCTTGAACTTCATCAGAGCATCGTCAATGAACGACTCGGGGACTTTCTGATGAGACAGCTTTATTTTTCCGACGTACAGTACCTGATGAAATAACCAAATTGATGAATTAATAATGGATGGGAATTCCCTTCCAATGTCTCAGCTGCGCAAAACATTGTCCACAAATTAGAAAAATCTCTCTGGAAGGTGTTTAGATGTTAATTACCTCAAAAAAGTGGGATGAACTCGGGGATATGTCGGCACCGATAGTTGTCAGAACAGCAGCACTACTGTTGGACCTCTGGAGGTCTTTGTCCCTGTCGACCCTCGACAAGGACGATTGCTCCTTCATGGCTGTGAATAACTCTTGGACCTAGAATGAGAAATTTAAAAAAAACCTGTCAGCGTTGTGGTGATGAGAGAATTTTGTTAATGAAACGGAGAGAGCGAGTCTGTTTTGTAGCAAGTGATTAGAAAATATTTTGATACGTGTAAATAATCCCTCTGGCACTTAACATACTTGGAAATTTATCACTTCACACAAATAAATTCTCCCAATCACCAGATGATTTTGTACAACGAGATAAGACAGCTTGGGATATTATGACCCTATTTTTAGGAAAGAGAAAGAGAAAAAAACTGAGGATTGAGTCTATCGATAAACAAGATTAGTTTCGCAACGTTAAAAGCTTGCAATGAAGGCCAGACCAAAAATAAATTCTTGGGGCGAAATTTCGTGGGGACGAAGATACATTGCAAGGCTAGTTGAATCGTCTTCGAAATGAGCATCAGTTCACAGTATTCGAAAGATTGTTGTTTTATATTTCTTCGTGTCTAGGAATAGTCTTTACATATTTAAAAGTCATTGAGTTCTCGGGATCGGGAGAAGGTAAATGAGTTGAACGTCAAACATAAATCATGCTGATTCTCTTTTGTGTTACGTAGAGTTTCTTTTTCTTTCAATGGCGAGCATGCGATGCGAACAATAAATTCTCGTGCAATAACAAATTGTGATTATTTCCAACAATTAGATGTTGAACTTTGAAACAGAGCAAGTGGTCGTCTCCCAATCATCTCGAAAGACTGAACAGCTTGCCAATGTCCCACATATAAAATGTGTCCACAATTTCGCAGTCAGTTAACTGACATAGAAAACTCAAACACCAGCCTATCGGGCTTCTGTTATCCAATTACGTTCCTTACTTTTATTATTACCCAGTAATAAACTGAGTGCACATGGCCATTCTCTTTCAACCCGTCTAATGAACACCATATGTCAATCTCCACGTTGTTTTTCATTTTTATTTCATTAAACTTCGCACTGAATTCTCGTCGTGAAAATAAAATGAATAAGAGACCTTCGTGGGGCTATCTTTTTTTCCCGACTTCCGGAATCCAAAGAACTCAAGTCGAGTCACGGAGTTTTTTTTAAAGATTCACAGTAAGCTTGAAGAAGAGCCACCATCGTATCCACCAATGAATATTTCAATGAATTTCTTCGAAACAAAAGGGAGAAATGCAATACAAAAACAAGCATTACCATAAATTTTCTATTCATAAGAGACCATCATTTCGTACTTAATAAATGAAAGAACAACGTGTTAGGATTGAACGAGGAATTAAAACAAGAGAAACAAACTACTAAAGTGCTAATTGAATCCGTAAACACGTGATGGAATGCATTTACACTGCCCCAGGGAATATTTGATTTAACACCAGTAGCTCACGGATCTAATTTATATTGTTTGAAACATAAAAACATTAAGTACATATCGTAAACATCGAAATTAATTTTTGCGTAGAAACTCATTTGCGCCATTTTAATTGAGAATTTAATCGCTAATTCCCTTGGTGATTCCCCTCTCCCACCAATTTTCCCTCTACCTCTCATAATATTTTTCCCTCGAGATTGGGACCGGTTATTCAACAATGGAAAATTGTTGGGAAAATAAAGGATTGCACGTTGCGTGCTAAATCACAAAGAGATACCGATAACCATGGAGGTTGAATAATAAGTTCTCTTAAAAAGTCAATGATCATTTATACTGCATATTCTTGAAATGCTAAAATGTATAGAGAGATTGTTGGCAATGTCGGCAGATTCCTCGTGTCCCCCAGAGGATACGATACCAATTTAGAATAGTCTTCAGGCGAACGAACGAGTTGGGAAAATATTTCCACGATAAATAGAATGAAAATTCATGAGGATCAATGCACCGATTAATTTTTTCTAAATCAATCATTGCATTACGGATAGGATGATAGATGACTTTATCGCTGATGATTTTCATATTAAATAAAATATAAGTACTTCTTCTTCTCAATGAGTTTTTCAGTATTTCACTCGTTGGCAAGTGATTCTGCTCTTCATGGAGACGAATCAATGGTCACACTCTTACCAAAGGTCTTCTCCTGAGTGTGCTAGCATCGCTGATTGATGTCACAGTGAAATAGGGACTGGAGCTGCCCATTGGTATCGTAATCATGATTAACCGATGATTATATCACTCATCAATGAGTTTCAGTATTCACTATTCTACAAGTTCTCCCAGAGTTTTTCTTTAGTCCATGGTAATTTTTCTATTTTTCTCATGTCGTTAATGGATTCGACACACTGATGGTTTAGGCACCAGCACTGGCTGTTGGTACAATTTTTTGGATGAATTTTTGCAAGTGGATTAATTTGGGGTTGATTGGTGGTTAACTGGTGGTTAATGAGGAGACGTTGGTGGTTCCTGACGTGTGGACGCACTGGGATAGACTGGCTGGTGTCCCAGGGAAGCGCCGCGACGCCTCCAACTCTCTGGTTTCCCCTGCTTCACTCTGATTGCGTGACTTCTCTTTCGCGAATACGAGTCTCTCACGTCGTAACAACTCCAATGGATGGGAAAATAGAGGACAAAAACGCCAAACAGATGCGAAAAATTTAATTGGTACCGGAGGTCAAGACAAATAATTTGCATTGAAATTCACTTATATGTTCAATTCCTATTTCTTTCAGTTTTACTCGGACTTTCGGAGACTAAATCCACACACCTGTGATGTCATGTGGCTTTTTATTTGCGTGAGGTATAATTGGATTATTTTGGAGTTTTGTCGCAGGGGGAATGTTTGGAGGAGGGAAAGTCCAGTGGTGTCCTTTTGGATGACGTGATGAATAAGAATAATCGATGGAAATGTTTATTGACGCCACTCCCTTCGTTCTAAGTCCACTGCCCTCTTGGAAAACACAAACATTGGATTTTATGAGCTCATCCACTTGGTTGTGCCTATTTTCTTCTTCAATGTTTTATTATTTTTCTTCTTGGGTGTATTAATGGAAAACTGCACTCATGTTAAAATTAGTGACGACAATCCGAGGATTTCCTGTCTGACTAAAGAAACTGGCCCAGGGTATTTTTGTCCTCGAATTTTTGCAGATCTATTTTGAAAAATGACTTATGCTCTGGCGCATCCAAAAAACCAATTAATTTATAAGATTGAGTTCATTTTTGTCACGAAGTTTCTTGGAAAATCAAGAAAAATAAATAAATCTACCTCAAACATCAGAGTTTCTTCGGTACTTAATCAAAGATTACGATAATCCGTAAATCGATTTGGTAAATTCATTTATGATTTCAGTTTGAGGGATCTTCAGGAGATCATCCAATATTTTTCGTGAGGAAACTTTCTGGGAACTGCGTAGACACTCGTTAGTTCAATCCACAAAACATTACTTCACGCATCCATAATTCCCCCGGCATAATCTTTTGGCGATTATCCATAATGCATTAAAACGACCTGAAGTGTTTAGAAGATAATTTATTCTGTCTGTTTAGTCATTATCGTAATGAGTTATTGGACAAGAAAGCATGTCCCAGGGGTGACAGTATGAAAACGTAAACATGCTCGTTCGGTGTTCCCCTCATTGTAAAAATTCTAAATAACATTATAATGAAATATATAACAATATTGGAATAATACTGAGACACGACAGATGAATTGGAATAAAACACGTAAATATTGACGGATAATTAATGATCGAATGACTGCATCTTCGGAATTATTGAAAAATATAAACATTGAATCGCGTTGAACGTTATGGGTAAATTATTTTTCCATCTCTCCGTGTTGTTTTTTGAGTGTGCAAAAGCAAAACCATCAATTTGTCTCATCCCAGTCGACATCGGATAAAAAAAACACGATGTTATATCCTCGAGGGGCCAGTAGAAGTCAAGTATGCAATTGAACGAACTCATACGCTCAACTTCCTAGAAGATAACCGACTGCATTGTTACGAAATAACTCTGCAGCCATTGTTTAATGATTTTTAACTGAACCCTGTCCACTATCATCTCCTGCATTATTGATGTACATCAAGATTCGCTGAGCCATGAACCTGAATGCCAGATAATCTATCATTTGGCCAGTTCCGAGTAAAAAACGACGTGAGGAATGAAAAAAAAATGATGAATGGATGAATCGGCTCAAGTTCACGGAAAAAAGTTGAATAAATTGATAAAAGTGGGGGATAACTGGAGGAAATTGGCGGCAGAAGTGATGATTATTATCGACGCTTCACGTGGAGGGCCAAATATAATTTAACAAGTTTCCAATCTCATTTTTTATTTTTACGTCACATTAAATTATGGACATTAGGGTCGCCGGGGATGATTTTTTGTACCAGTGTGGACAAGTAAAAAATAAAGATTCCATCACAAGGACGAAGAAAAATATAATGAAAGCTATTGAAAAGTTGTATGGGAGTTATCGTGACTGACCAATGGCAATATGAACTGTTGTATAACTCCTTATCGTTTTCTCCATTACTGAATTTACATTCGATCGTCATGCAACTGTCCAGAGCCTTGATAACGGGGGGAATGGATTTTTAATGTTTCAGAAATCCAGAGGGAAATCAACCCACTTTTCAAATCGCGCCCATTAAATCGGATAAAGTGCCAACTCGGGTCAATTCAAATGCTGATTGCAACGAAATAAAAAGAAGGATCAATGGAAGAAACACTTGATGTGAAAAAAAATCGGAGAATGTGGAACGCGTTTCGCACATCGTGACACCTTTCATAACCGATAATTATACATTCCAAGTAATCCAATCGATGCAATCGCGATTATAATCCGATACTCAGCCGCATTTAAATGTCTGAATCTACTTGAATGTGCTTGAAAGAAGAATCAATGTTTCTCACCCAGAACTACTTTCATAATACTGAAAAAACCACCGTCAATTTGTTTAACAAAATGATTTCACAATCGTGCGAATTTAAACCGAGGCTGTCGTGCACTACGCTCAATGAATAAAAATTCCACAAGACACCTAAAAAATTACTCTCCTATGACGTTACACGAGGTTTACTCACCGTTTACGAGATGTGAATTATAATCCACTTTTGAACTTTTCGTTGAGACAAATTATGCACCAGCAAGGCCAAAAAATGTAAAAAAAAGGCGAAGGAGTTCAGAAAAATTCACCACTCGACAGAATACAACTTTACAATATCACAAAAGAGTCATCAATTATTCTCCTAAAATATGTACTTTGATGTTTGATTTGTAATATCGGTGCACGTCCATTCGTGTTTGACTTGAGAATGAAAATGCAATACTGATTTAAAACTGTTGTGAGACAACATCAATACCCCCAACGCACTGAGGACAAATTTAATAATAGTACGAGCATTAAAGAGAGATGTGAGTTAACGGTATTGTACAGTGCAATATTCACATTTACCATTGGTTGTTTTAGCAAGAGAAAGACTGCGAAGGTATGATTGGCGCTGGTGAAATTGGGTGGGCAAAAAATGCGAATATTGAGACAAGAGCCAACAGATTTGTCATAACGTTCAATATTTTGTCGACCATTCGCTGAATGACGTATTCTGCGTGTTACCTCCGATATTTGGATACATGTTGTAGCAGCAATAAAGACTATGTATTTATGGGTAATCACTGTCGAGGACAACTCAACAAATTTAATGTTTCATTTTGTTTATTGCCCTATTTCTCCCAACAACACAGAAGTCACAGCAGTTGGCTGTGGGCTCGTGTGGGCTTTATTCAAAACGTTATGACGAAACAATTCTTTATTTTTATTTCATAATTACGTACGGACGGTTTGTAAATATGAGAAATACAAGGAAGACTATCGATATAATTGTTTCGCTGAAAACCAAAATAGTCTTATCTGATGAAATAAATGAGTTACCAATTGATAGTAATTGATGATAATAACCACAATTAATGAGTTTTTTTTTTATTAATTGAAAGCAATAAAAAAAACAATTCCATGCTCCTTTCTTCTTCACCACATTACATAAAGTACGCGCGCGTTAATACCTAGTAATAGTATTGTATTTTGTATTGTATATGTAATAATTATATTGCTGTCATCAACAATTTTTTTAATAAGAATCTCAATTACTTTTAATTGAAATTATCATTAAAAAGGTTATTCAGAAGCCAGGGTAACGCAGTGTATGAAAGTAGTGTCGAGAAGAAGGATTCCTCTTGTTTTTTAATGTTGCCCACTTTATAGATTCCCCGAGAATACTCGGTTAGATTATCACGTCCTGTCAAAAAAACAGAGGGATTGGACTTCAATGGATTTCTATGGAGGTGCAAATCTTCTAAATCCAGAAGATCGCAGAATATTCTCTTTGGCATGTCCTCCAATCTATTCGAATGCAAGAATAATCCACGAAGACTCGTCGTACTGGCGAAAGTTCCAGGTTTTATCGTACTGATGATGTTCTCTCCCAAATTAAGAGTCTCCAGAACACTGAGACCATCGAACATGTCAGGTCGCAGTATCTCTAGCTCATTGCCGTTCAATTCCAGGGTTTTCAGGTACCTGAACCTTGAGAATGTTTCTGGTTCGATAGTTTTCAAATGACTGTGCTGCAATTGGAGACTCTGCAGGTGTGTCGTGATTGAAAAGAACGAAGCTCTGGACAGGTTTGTAATCTGCTGATATCCTAGCGTTATGGATTTGATCGACGGAATATCCGCGCAGAATTCTTGAGGGAATTTGGTAAATTCGTTGTAGAGGAAACTTAATGTTTCGAGATGATTTTGATTTTTGAATGGCGTTGGAAAACCTCGAAATTGCACGCACTCTATGTGGACAGATTTCACGCCTTGGAGATCACTAAAGGAGGTGTTGGTGACGGTGATGGTTTCAGGAGTCGTGCAGATCAGAGAACCAGTAGGGTAGAACTCCAGATGTGTCGGTCTCACAAGCTTGACCTTGTCTTCAATGAAATATTTTACCTTCTGGGTATTTCGATGGACTTTTACCAAGACTGACGAATTCGCAGGTTTGCACTCTTCATAATTTAAAGTAAGTGTTTCGTTGCAGGATAGAAAATTTGAACCAGTCAGGGAATACGTCGATATAAAAATGAGAACAAAGGTGAACGGAAAACCTTTCATCTTTGCTGAATTTTCAAAATGACTACAAGGCTTCGAATATTTAGGGTTTATATACTATGAGAGAACTGCTGATAATATGCGTCATGGGATTACAGGAACAATTGCGTAAATATTTAAAAAAGTGTGTAACATACGATTGAATAGAATGAAGCCTTCAATTCTGCTGTTCAAATATTCTTCTATTCAAATATTCTATCGTTGTCGATTACTTTTTGAAAAAAAAATTTTCATCCAGAAACTCTCGTTATTCCTCGACAACGTAATTAAAATGATTTTTTCATGAATTGGTGAAATAGATAAATCGTAAAATCGAAATATTTAATTTTTTGAATTTATTCCGATTCGTTCAATGAGACGCAATTATAAAGATCGCATTAAATAGACGTCATTTATTATTAGTTGGTTCAATTTCATTATTTTTTTCTTGATTCTGTAACCATTCCAGTGAAAATGATATTATCTAATAAACTCTCATCTTTGTCCCAATAAACCCTGTGATTCTGCCTAGCCAGGCATTTTATTAATTACAAGAATCGTCGGCTCCTTAACAACAACCTCGGAAAAAGCGAAAAAAAACTGGGGGAAAAAATTGCTGAAGCGTAGAGTTTGAAGTGCTCCCGACAATTCCACAATTCCCTCTATATCACAATCAGTGTCCTCCCTCATGTACTCCACACGCGACAGAAACCACATTAAAGCGAATCTAGAAATTCAGCAATTGGAAATCAATGAAGTTTATGAAGATAGAGGTAGAAGAAAAAAAAAGGCGTTGCAGTTGGATAGAGAGTTCGTGCTGGTTTATTGACGTCGAGGAGATGATAATCTATGTGACCACATATTGCAGACCTTGTGGGGAGCACAGTGGCCCCAATTTGATGGAGCCGGTCATTGCCTAGACCTTGTGGGAGCGATCCCTTTTTTAAAAAATGCATGCAACGTTTTTTACCAGCTTTTTTCGGCGCATAGTTAAGTTATGTATATCATACTATATAAACATATAATATTAATATATAATATAATATATAATTTCAATAAAATAATGATTTTTCTAGAATAAGAAAAAAAATTATATTTATCAATTGAATTTAAGTAAAGAAAAAAACATATATTATGGGTAATTTTTTTAGATGTTTAAGATTCTTTGAATATTTAGATTTTAGATGTGTGATGATAACACTTCATACGTGTGAGATTAGGCGCGTGGAGCTCGCGATATGTGCTAGTAACACTAAATGAGACATTATCTTGTTTGAGGACGCCAATTCATTCGAAACTTTTACCGTGTCTCGATAAATTTATACGAACAGCTAGAAAATAATAGTTACTTGTGAAACTTTATTTTGGGACTTCTCAAGTGGTTCGGTGGAAAGAAATATTTCCTGAGAGGTAAATCAAATGGAGATATTTCCAGACCGATAATAAACAATCGTCAACTAATCGTTAAGATGATTGAGTTGATCTTGAAATATATATTTCCTCCTTTCAGCTTTAGCCCGCGTGGTTGATCTCTTAATAGTTGATCATTGGCTTCAGGCGTGAACACTATGTGCTTTTCACGTGTTGCTATTTTCAGAATCACTCCAACATGAATTGAGAGAACGGGAGATTAGTAGTCATTTTTTTTTGTGGATAGGTGAAAGAGCCCAAACCAACAAGTCCTGTCAAACGGGGTATATGTGTCAATATTATAAATAATCATTTCTATATGCAGACGAAGTAGCACGTGCTGCGAACGTGTTTAGAGGTTGTCCTTTCATATTCAAGTTGACATATAAATTAGTGAAGAGCGATATTTTGGAGCATGCAGGGGATTTTTTCTCTTCAAATACACTCGGTGTATTCAGAAATGTTCAATCCATCAATTACCTGTTGCGCGTCAGTCGATTCAATAGTTATATAGGGAGTCATTGCATCCCCCATGTTGTTGTTATGACTCGTACAATTGTTTCACTTAGCTATAAAATTTATTTATTGCATGCACCACGCAAACAGCGCGTGATGTTTTTCAATTTCAATTGAATAAAAAATTCTACGAATTTGTTTACTCCTTCACTTACTCCAAGCACATCTTTGATCGTAACTTGAATAATTTTTCGATGCGTACTAGAATTTACAGATTATTTTCAAGACTCGGAATATTTTTCAAGGTGAATTATACTTTCTATTAATTTTATTTGCAAAATTGTCAGGTAAAGAGAGATTGGTGAGAATTTGTGGAACTTCGTCACCAGTTATTTGGACTTTGGTACATGCAGAGTGGTTCCCAAGAGATAAGTTGCCAAACTGTCTGCCACTGTTTCCTTGTGTTTGATTTAGAAATAGAGATCCCAATCCCAATGCTCATGTCAAACGTCACATTTTGTTAGTCATCTTGTTCATTGAGGTGGGGAGTGCAAAAGTGAGCATTTGAAATCACGTTATATAAACGCGTGTACTCAATGAGACAAACTGATTCCAATGCAGAAGAGACCACAACTAGACCTAAATGATTGTTTTTCATTGGTAACAAAGATTGATCTGAATTTGATGTCATGAGGTGACTGATAGTCGGGGAGTCGTTCAATCTGTCCGCTAAATGATAAAGGTCGCATCGAAGAGGAAAAAATATGATTTTTCACTCACCGTTTCGGCATTCTCGACCTTGAACAGGTGATAGTAATATAGGCCATCGTCGCCTTTGATGAGGTAAAGGAAATTGCCACCCTTGGCATCTTGGGAGTTTGCTGCCACTGGTTGGGGCTTGGAAGAGCCACTCAGAGAGTGCCGGAACAGTGGCTGCTCCTTGTCACTCTTGTATGCTGATATGTATCCAGATGCCACCAGTAGATTTACCTGAAAAAAGCAATAGAACATGGCTTTCATTTGAATTGGGTCGGATCCATCAATGTCACTGTATACATGCCCCTGAAGGCTGTCAATTATTTCTCTGATAAGTTTTCCCTTTCGATCAGATTAATAAAACAAGATATAGGATAAAGTATAAAATTTAAATTGGCCTCTCGTATATTTCGATTTTGCGGTATTTCCGGTTCGGTGAATAATAAAAAATTGCGTTTGAATATTTTCAGTTACTCATCATGAAAAAGTCAGATTCTACTAGCTTTCGGAATATATTAAGCCATAAAACGAGAATAAAGTCCGAAATTCATACATATATTTTTTTTTAATACCATTCTAATCAGGCCAGGTGGAAAACATGTTTACGTTGAATGAATAATTGTATGAATTTTCACAAGAAAAAAGTGAGCTGAACATGAATATTACTGAAAACTCCAGCAATTGTGAAATGGGGTCATTACGATAAAGAACATGGAATGGAAAATGCAGATGAAATGTCACGAATGAGACCATTACCTCAGTCTCAGTGCTACATTTTGAGAAATCAATTTTGTCACTGCAAATTGATCGCATTTACTCGAGAGACATCACCAGAATAATTGTCACTCATCTCAATTGTCATATTTATTATGAGAGGCGTGACAGATGGGGAAATAATATCTTACGTGAGAAAAAGAAATTCTGGGATTTTTATCAACGTTTTCCATCGGGGAAAAACTTCAAATGTCCTAGGTATTTTTCTTTATCGTATCACCACTCTCGCGAATAAACCCAAGGGAGAAAAGGAAAGATCTCAAATTTTTGTTCCCACAGTCTTCCTATTTCTCTTTGTGACGTACATTTTAAACAGGTATTCCCCCACGCATTATCAGGGTAGATGCCATAAAACTACGTTTGCGTAAGTTATTTTTTTTCCACCAGATAACTAGTGAGGGCGACAAACCACGAGTCGTCTGTGAATGTATATTCCCTTGTGAAAATGAAAAAGATAACTTGAGAGATAATTTGTCTATTTGCTGAGACTTAACAGTATTTTCTTAACAGTGAAAAAATTGCTGGGAAAATCCGCTTGTGTATTAATTAATGGGATGCACATAAATTAACACGGCAATAATAACGGAGACATTGTTGAATACTTGAAGTGACGTGAAGGACACGGAATATAAAAGATTATTGCGAAATTAATTATTTCCAACTTTTTTTTATTACTATTTTTCCTTATTTCTCATGCGTGCAATTGACAAAGCGACGAGAGAGTCCTTCATCGAACATGTTTGAAGTGGAAATTATCGTTTTTGTCGTGCAGATAAATTGGTTTTCTTGGTAGAATGAAGATACTGATGAACTTTTGTTGTAAAATTCTGACACAATCGCAATGTCCATTAGCTCCTTGTCTCGTAATTAGTAAATTCTTGAATTTGGATAGTGAAACGTGGAATGACTAATTTTTGACATTCTAAAGTGTTCCCTTTAGATTCTCAAAATTTTTCTCAATAATTCAGAATTCATGTTTTCAATAATCATTTGTTCGTTCATTATTGACTGAAATTAGTCATTGGTATGGAATTGAATTTCTAATAAATTCTTACTGGAAAAAAATATTTTGGAGATTGCTGACTAAAAATAGGGATGCTCATTTAAAAATATTGAAAAGATTTGAGGGAGAGGGAAATGGGCGAATATCTTCAAATCCCTGAGAATTTTCCAATGGAGTGTATGTTTACCGTTTTGATGCTAAAATTATGAGGGAGAGTGTGTCATTGGATTCTCAAGTGTCATACCACTATTGTCGCAAGCGGCGAAAGTCGAAAAACAATTATCCGGAAATGCCTGAGTGAGGAACTTACATAATACCAGTGGAAAAATTCTCCAACAATTTTTCTCTCTATCAATAACAATTTTTTACTTTTCGTCACATTTTATTGCAGAATTGAGTGATAGACATATCTGAAATGATTCTCCACGTGATTCATATAAAAACGCTAGTGATTAAATAACGTTGGGGTAATTGCAACATTATAAATACAAGTTGGCGAGGGGGAAAAATAGAGGCGTGTGAAATGTGGAAATAAGGGGTTCATGGGAGTTTTGTTTGAAGGGAGTGCGAGACTTTTCTGGTGGAGAGAAAAAAAAACATTACCTCCTTCATGCATTCTTGCTGTTAGAATTTACACGCAGACGTAGGGCCGGTGGATAGTAAAAAATAAGAGGGCCACACGCGAGGAAACCATTCGTAAAACGATATTCACTCACTCCGGTTATGACCTTTGATGTCTTTTAGAGTTAAGCATATCCAAATAGTATAAAAACATGTATTCTCATATTCATAGTTATATCTAATTTATGGATATTTATATTTATATTTTGTACGGCAAAAAATAGGGATTTTCAGAAGATTGAATTTTTATATTTCAGTGTGATGACCGATAAATTTGGAATGATTGGTATATTGTAGCATGAAGCAATATAAACACCTTGACAAATTGCAACATTTCGGAATATGGAATATTGAGAATTGGATATTGATAAAATTATTAAAGCCGATATTGTATATTTCGTCACCGTTAGGGACTTTTGTGGCGATTGTGAGTTTACAGTCCGAGGCGAATCCGAGGAGTGCAAACATAATCCTCAGAAAAGTTCTTTTCGGCCGACTGACGAGCGATATTTTTTGTTACTCAGTCTGTAGACAGGGTTTTACGACCGCGCAGTGGTCGTGAAGCGTGGCCTTACAGACTGGGTGATAAAAAAAACTTATTAATTTCAGTTTTGCTAAAGTGAAGTTACGAATATATTTCTCAGTTTATGGGACTCTATTATTTTCCTTATTTACAAATTCGAAGAGGTTTATGTTTTGGACCACTCTGCAAGTAGCCAGAAATATTTGAATAGCTCTAAGTCAAACCATCCATTAATTATGCACAGGCTCAAGGAAAAAATTAACTCATGTTTACGCATTATGCAATGAATTGAATAAATTAGTTTTGTATGAAAAAATGAGGAAAAATACTTACTCGCTGGTGATTACTCCTCCTCTTGATTTCTTTTGTGATCCAGGGGAGCATGGGACTGCTGAATCGTCGGTCTATCGCTGTCGATCCGAGATAAATTGCTGGCACAAGTTTCATCGTTGCTTGAGGTTTATTCACACCTTGGGAAGTTTATGTCTTTGATATTGCTGGGTTTTGATGTACAGCTGAGGTTTGAATTTCACATTTTGATTTAACTGCAAATTAAAAAACATTCTTCTCTTAAACACGTATCTAACATATTCAGAAACAACTTGTATGGATTTTGTGATTAAATGTAATTACAAATTTTTTACACAGAAGGATTTATTCAGCTATAATCTATTCACCAAGTGATTGCAAAAAAATGACTGACTTATTATTCGAGGATTTATCATGTTTATAACGGCAAAAATTTAAATTTTACATTTCGATTTAACGGAAATGAAAAAATACGATACGATAACTTGCGGTAAAATTGAAGAGGAGAGAGGAATTTAAGCACAACTGTTTCAAAATTCTGTTATTCCTCAAATAGACCATTGAATAGTTTATCACGCAAATGTTGTGTATTCTGTGGTGAAGTACAATTACGAAATTCGAGACGAGCAAAATCTATCAACAGACATTTTACATACACATTTATTTTTCGCGTGGGATTGCAAGAATTGGGTCAATGTTTAATCAGATGAACACTGTATATTTTTAATTATGCACTCAATTAGAAAAATGATTTTTTATACCGCTGACAATGTGACAATTTTTGTTACTGGATTTTCTGATCCCCTTGGCTTCAAATGCCGATAACGAAATTGAATGTTTTCACGTTATCGTTGAACGATACTCTGATTTTTATTACTCGATCATTATATGAAATAGTATATTGTAATTGTGTATTGTAATTTCCATTATTCCTCGATTTGAAAAATTATTATGAGATAACACTCAAGGTCTCAATAAAATCTGATGGAAAATTTCTAGGAATGCCTTGACGCTTGAGGGACGGTATTGAAACTCAAAAACAATTTTATTTCTCAGTATATCGACATTTAAATTCGAATTTCATTGATTTCTTCATTGGATTGAATAAATGCTTGAGTGGATTGTAAAACTTCCAACCAGGAAAGCCTCGAAATGCGTTGTATTTTGATCTCAGTAATTGAAAACTATTGAAATTCCAATGCTTACGATTCTCGCAGAATGACTTCCTTGAAACTTCGCCTCATAAATTCCCCTATCAGACTGCCTATCATTCGTTCATTAACCTCTCTGATAAAGACTCGACACGCGTGTTTCAAAATCGATCAATAACCCTTGGAAAAGACCTCGAAAAGCTCATAAAATTTCTCTCAACTCATACCTCAATCTGCATGCAAATAATCCCCCAATTTTCCCCTCCATTCCTCAATCAATCGATCGACAACCGATATGAAAGAAAGAGGAATGCATAACTAACTCATCCAATAAATCCCGGTAAAAAAAAAACTTCAATCCGGATATGACAGTATTCATTAACAATGCCCCTTTAATACGAGTGTCTAGATTGGCAAAAACATCCGCTGAACTCACCAATTAAACTCCGACGGAGCCATTATACTCCAGGTAAGACTGATCAGCTGTTTCTCAATTCCTCAATGAACTTTGTATAAAGATTATTCACAAGTGTCTATTGGTTGGGAATTTTATCACTCCTTCAGAGGTTCTCTCAAGTTCGAATACCACAAGATGCATCTCTCTATAAATGTTAATGCCAAGGGATTTTCGCAAGTGTTGAGTTGTTATTTAACGCCCACGGTGAATACTATTTTTCGATTACACGGGAGTAGATATTCTGTCGAACATCTGTTTACTTCTGATTTTCCGCGTTAAAAGGCTATGGATATTTCCGTTATTTCCTGGGTGCGGTTTTAGCGGTGTTAAATTCTCTCGTTTCACGTATTTTCCGGAATAACTCATTACTTTCCGCGTTTTTTAAAATGCGTAATAATGCGTACAATAGGCTCCAGCGAGACAGCTGACCATACAAGCCATTTTGCAATCGCATTAATGTTTTTATGAAGATTGAGTTATCCTCTTTTTGCTGGTTTATCCTCGTTTAATAGCACTGGACATTGTAAATAGCACAGGCACTTGTGAATTCTCTGAGAGTCACGTTTTCATATCACGGGGCTTTATTGATAGAATCCCAACACATTAACTTTTTTTTCCATTTTTTTGTTAGGGAATTTCTCAACGCAGAAAAATACACACTGGAATGTCGATAGATTGTCATAGGTACTGGAGAAAGGTCTACGGCACTGACAGATTATGGATTTGTTGGTTTTGATGAGAGACGGAGACATCTGGCGGGGATGAAGGATCTCTCTGATTTTATACTCGGGTGATAATAGAGGTTTGAGTAAGTGCCATCAATTCAAAATAAATCGGTCTTTGCTGGAGAATCCCGTTACAGTCGCTCTCGTGATTGTCGCACCTCTCCTCAATTCCTTTTCACTCGTGTTTTTCGATTTCTCCATTCTACTATAAGAAACATCTACAAATCTCGATAATTCTAAAAATTCGCTGATGGATTTGTTTTTTTATCTGCTTTTATAGCTTTTAATTTGTTAAACTCATTTTTTCTTTCGTTTTTTCTTTGGGATTTCATGTTTTTCTTGATGACAAAATAATATAGAGTTTCAGAGCGTTTATTACAATCGATTCACAACTTATGGATGCTTTCATATTGCTAACTGAGAAATTAGTAGGCATTAGTTTTTCGTCGTTATCAAAAACGTTTATGAATCTGTTTCATTCAATTCAGAATAGGCATCATCGGTTCACAGTAGTTTTATTGATAATCTTCAGTTTTGCTTGATACGCTTGCAGGACACTTCGTGTTCGGGCTTGCACTCGCAGAGATTTCCAAAGTGATGATATGTCACACCGATTTCGCAGTCAGATCCATCCAAAGGCACTGAAAATATAATTTATGGAAATTAATAACAAATAGGACGGACATCGAGATCATAGAGATGAATATTCTATAAGAATTATGGAACTAATTCGAAAATTTTAAGTGAACAAGTTTTACAGATTAATCCCAAACAAGTCAGATGCAGGAACAAAAACTTTATAAAACTTTAAGACGAATATTGCCCATAACATTTTCTGCAGGAAGTCAAAATTTTTACAGATTGCCCACTTTTCAGAACATCTATACCTCCTACATGCATCCGCGAATATGAAATGATGAGATGAGTCATTTCACTCCGATTGATTAATCACAGGGTATTAAGAGATGTACTCACGTTCTGGATAAGTGACTCCATCAATATCTTTCGTGGGAGGGAGATTGAAAGATCCAGTCTTACCTCCGTGTTGAGGTCTGGCGGCAACAGCTAGGAAAACATACCTCAATTAATTTGTCAATTAATCACTCATTCCCTGTGGAATTTCAAAAACATCAAATCTGTATAATTCTATTGCAAATAATTCATGGGCTCGCAAATTGTATTGAAAAATACCTCATGAGACGAATATTACCAATGAGATCAAAATTGTAGCAAATAAAAATAACTAAATAATTATTTTTTTATTAGCAGTTAACGTATAAGAGATTATTCTCTGACTTACCCATGATAGCCAGAGCCAGAATCAAAACCTTGCACATCATGATTACTTGGGCGACGGGATTCCTCGAGAAATATCCTGTGAAGAACGTTTAAGAACTGATGTTCAAAAGTTAGAGCCAGCGGTTTTATATACCCACTGCCCATGTGGGTGGAATCCAGTCGATGACTGTCTCTGCATCACTGAACTCGCATGTTTGAAATTGCTAATATTTTTCCTTAGGTATTTTCCTCGTCTTTGACTTCTTTGAATCACTGGTTATCACGGGACGATGCGCATTTACAGCTTGTCATAATTTGGTTGCATTTTCCTTAAGCTCCCCTTTGTTTATAGTTTGACAGATTTATTTTATTAAAGCTGCGGGAATTCCCAGAATTATCATATCGAAGATTACATTTTTTTTATTTAACATTTACGAGACAATATAGTATCTTCGCGATTGCGCAATAATAAAACAAGATAGTTTATTCAAATTGAGGAAAGATGGGGCATTTTTTAATGGAATAGAACGTTCTTTCCTTTTCTAACTTTTTGAGACTTTCCTTATTTTCTATATTTATTTATGAAATATGCCGACAACATTGCGTAATGAAGGAGACAGTGTTTCTGTAAAAAACTTTATTGACTACTACAAACACTACACATTCATAAAACTACTAAGTGTCATATATAGAAAACGTATTGTCATATTGCTCGCCTTTAGCTCACGGTGAGTTTTGATAACAATAATATATATAAATGATTTATCTACAAAAATTATAAGGCTCTTCTCAAATAGCTATTCCCGTTGGATTTAAACATATGGATATCGAACTAGTGGTATTTTATTATCGCTCGAAAAATTGATCTGCTCTATCATATAAGAGAAAAAGGTAGAATAAACTTCTTGGACAATCCAGTGTGAGAAGCAATGGCGTCTTGATAATAATTTCAAAAAATCTACATTTATTCAGTCATTAAAATTAATATTGAATACAAAAAAATGGGCAGTAGAGGTCCAGACATTTCTGAAACGTGTAATGATGAGGAAAGCATTTTCATGGATTCTTTCAATATTATACAAGTGCTACATACATCAAGATAATTCGTTTTATCACTCAAGGTGTAGTATAAATGGTACCTGTATGAAACACATGCGGATTTGGACATTTTTCTTATTTTTCTGGAATAAAAACACTACCAAGGTACACGGGACGACGGCGCTGCCAATGGTAACCTGTGACACGAGATTCCAGGGGTTATTAATTAAGTCACTAAGGTTGTTTATTAGTTGGGGAACCTGCTATAAACCATAGTGCCCAGTATTTATAGCAAATAGACGGACTCAATTTGAAGTATTCTCCATACAAAAATCTACTGCTGGGTAATAAATCAGTCATACTACTAAAGAGGAGAGTAAATTTTATCAACTTTTCATGGTTAACAAATATTGATTGCAAATAATTCGCAACAATATTGATTCTATTTACATTTTTCATAGTTTAACACATCAAAAAATGGCAACTGAATCGATCATTCCTGATATTACTATTAATGGATCGATTAACTCAGTATTTTTCACCATTCGCTGTATGAGAAATTGAAAAATGTGAAATTTTTTCGTATTTTCAATAAGAAATATTACTGTAGAGCATTCCACTTACAACGCTCAGTTACTCTACAGATTATCAATTATTGACGATTTCCACTAAAATTAATTTAATTTTTCTTACAAAAATTTCAGAATGCCGGAAATTGAAAATTGATTTGATCATTCCCAGAATTAATGATCAACAGATCAATTCAATCCACATTTATAACCGCGTTGCATAGAAAAACTCAGGACCATAATTTTTTTATGCAATTATTTTTAAAATATTTATTATTATTTCATTGGGAGTCGAATCCATGGAAATTTGCTTGAAACTTACTTGGGCTTAATATGATTCTTTTGGTAGGGATGGGCATTGACCAAGCCTCTCCTCTCCTTGGTTCTGACAGCTTTGAGTCCGCCCGGCTCATTATTGGTGTTTTCATAAGGTGTCGAGGATATTTGTGACAGCAGTTTTACCCTGTCATTTTTCAACTTATTCAAAATTGCCACACTCTTAGCACTCATAACACTGACGGGTTTGGCAGTGGTCTTATTCTCCTTTCCTGCGAAGGTGATGTTGGTCTGTTGGACAGATGCCACCTTGTTCTTTGGGGAAATCTTCCTAACTTTATTCGGAGTTCTACCAGTCGTGTGATTCTTATCAGCTAGAATACGTTTTTTCACTTTATTCTCCATCAAATTGAATGTATTATTTAACTGACTTGCTTTAATCTCCTCTCCACTGGTAAATTCTTTCTCCGATTCTTTCTCATCATTGGAGGGTGAATCTACAGTTATAGTGGTATTGAGATTAGTTTCGACAATTGGCGAATTAACGTTACTTGTCGATCCATTGAAAGTGCTGTTTAATTTACTCTCAGAAGGTGTTGCCTCGTCCTCGAGGTACAGAGCAGTGTGAATTGGGATTTCATTGTTTAACGGGTCCTTCAACTCCTCCAGAGTAAGTCCAGTTCGATTGTAGAGGTCTTCATGTGGGCTGTGCTCATCAGCATCAGCCCACTTTATGTTCCTCACTCCCTCCAACGATTTGATCAGCTGTTTGTACTCACTCTTCATCTTGTCGGTCATGATATTGTACCCACACATGGTTCCATAGTACATTTGAAGAAGTCCACTCATGGTCTTTACAATTGTATCACTTGACTCCATCTCGCACTGCTGAAGACTGCAGATCTTTCTGGAATGTTCATACTGCTGTTGGACTCTGCACGCCTTAATTTCGGTCATGTTGACTGCACACTGATCGGCCAATTTCTCTGTTAGACCCTTCTTGTTAATCTCATCATTGAGAGTATTGAGTTCACGCTCGACTGACTGCAATTCACTCCACGTCTGCTCCATCTGGATTTTAACAACTTCCCGTTGTCTCTTGAAATGCAGAAGAGATTTATTTACCCTGGATTTTCCACTGGCGTTCTGCTCCTCAGGGATGAGGTCCAGAGCTGCTGTAAGGTTCTGCAGACGTTTATCAGCGGCAATTTTGTACTGAATTCGAGAGCAGAGGATTTTATCAGAGCTCTGGAGGGAGAGAACTTTCTCGTTGAGGGATTTCTTCTGTTCATACAAGAGTTTCAATCTCTCTGTGAATTCTTTGATCTCCTTCTGGGTTTCTTCACTTGGTTCAGAGGGTTCCAGCGATGAGCTCGACCGTATATTCTTGCTCTCCAGTGCCAGTAATTTTTGCTTGAGGAGGTTTATCTCCTTCTTCTGATCGTCCACCAGTTTTATATAACTTGTAACATGCATTTCACAGGAGATGATGTTCTTCTTGATGTGTGTCTTGATCTTTTTCGCTCGATTAGCGTACCTCAAAGTATTGTATGTATCCTCATAACTCATACTGGATGGCCCAATATTAGCAATCATCACAGTACGACAATTTCCACCCAGTGAATCCTTAAGCAGTCTCGTTAGTTTTGAATCACGATACGGAATGTGCTTGACACCATCAGCAAGATTATTGATACAATTTCCAAGGGCCAGCAATGATTTATTGATATTGGCTCCCTCTTTGAATCTGGCCCCCTTGCAACCAGTGGCAGAAGCTCTCTCTGACCCAGCTAAATCTATCATCGAAAGCTTCACCTGCTTCACCTGCCCATCCAATTTACTTGCCATATTGACATATACTTGAAAAACTGCGTGACTTCTACTGCTCTCTTGATTAGCATCAGTTGGATGCTGAGTTCTGTTCTTGTTGCCACGAGCCAGCAGCTGAAGAAGTTCATCTGCACTGCTGATGGATATGATCTTCAGATTGGCAACGATCACCCCAGCACGACCATCCTCTCGAAGCGCTAGTGGTCCAGATTTGTGAAGGAGATCCTGAACATTCTCGTTGTAAATTTCGAGGTATGTCACCCCCAGGGTGAAGTTCCTCTCCTCTCGTTGACCCTCGATCTGACTGAATAACTCTGCCATTGTTCTGTACGTGATACCAGGGTCCCCCTCCTTTCCCAGCATCGTGTGGGTCTTTCCAGCTCCAGTGGCTCCATAAGCGAAGACAGAGCAGTTGTATCCCTCCAATAAATCAGAAATAATTTCTCTGGTTGTGCCATTGAATACTTCCTCGTTCGAACAGCTCATGTCGAATACGTGGTCAAAAATAAACTGGAGCTCCTTGTTCTGCTTCTTCAGAAGATCTCGACCCTTTTGGGCAACTCCTCTGTAGAAGAAGGGATTCTCCTCGACTTTGGGATCGAATATTAGCATTTTCTCGTCCACTACTTTGATTACTGTTCTGTGGTTGTCCTGCTGCTCTCGGTCATTGTGAGGACGTACTCTCACAATTACTTTGATACTCGTTCCACTCTCGCCATCACTTGTAACTGATTTCGTTGTGCTGCCGCTGGTGCTGGGCTTGAATGAAACTCCCGAACGACGTTTGCCAAATCTCCGGGACTTTCCTGGAGAGAAAGCCTTCTCCAGGTCACGTTTATTCAATACCATTGTGGTCAAGTCACTGAAAACAATTATTCGTGGGTTTTTTTTGGCTGCTCGAATAGTGACAGTTGGGTATAGGCGTTGGTTTTTTGGTTAGTTGGGATATGCAGTTTGGAAGGATTTATTGGGAGATTCAGGGCGACGTACTTACGTAGAGAACTTCACGTCAAGTTGATTGAGTTGAACAATTAGGCGGTGAATAATTAACCAGTGTTGTTTGGTGGATTTTTCAGTGAATACCAGGAGTCAACACAATCGACGATCTCTCGCATCGCAAACCGTTAGCGTCATGCGAGAAACTTGAAATTCAAATTGTGACGCCCTTGTGGGACAACAGGAGGCGCGACGATCACCACGCAACGAAAGTTTCGAATTTTTAAATTTCAGTGAATACCTCGATTTTCTTTCGATTTTTCATTTTTCATGCTCCCCTGATACTTTTTCGAAAATTTTGAATTTTTCAATTTCAATGAATACCTCCTCAATTGTCATGCTACCCTGATATTTTTTGAAAAATTTTGAAAAATGTTTAGAATATTCTAGATTTTGAGTCAATAAGTCTCCGGGAATTATTGCATGACAGAATGATCTTTTATTTTCGGGCAAAATGAGAATAACAATTTAATGGATTCATTAACAAGCCATATCAGTACATGCATGACGAAGATCTGAAGTACATCGACATGTGTTGCACTCGAATTTATAGATACGTCCCGCTTCGCAGGGCCCATCTAAAGGAACTGAAAATAATGATTTTATTATTACGCGTTATTTATTGTCTTAATGAAGCGATGCGGACTTGATACTTACGATTAGGTAAATCTTCAAACCGATTGACAGATGAAAGTATCTTTAAAAATACCCAATCAAATTAATTCTTACATTCCGCAATAAATATCAGCACTTAAAAAACTTGGCGCGCGCATTGTTTAAAATGGATCGGAGTATTTATTTTTTTAGCTACCTAGTGTTTTTCTCAAATTTTCAAAAGATTGTTGGAAATATGAATGCGATAATTTTTAAAAAATTGAGTTGAACCCATAAATAATAATCACGTTGAGAATATTCTTCGTTAATTAATTGTCAGTGGATTATTCAAGACTAGTACCTGCTTCACAATCTTTATCTGTACCAGTGGATGATTGCAATTGATTAAAATATCTCTAATAATTATTCAACGGCAGTACGAAATGTAATAATTACCGGTGATTTCGTAGCAGATCTCATTTTTCTGGATTCGCCACAATACTTTAAAGTGCATTCACCCATGCGGTCCGCGGTACACTTACACGTGTTGCAATCATTTTTGTATACCACCCCAGGAGTGCATTTTCCATCCCCAGGCCCTAAGAAATTAAAAAAATTCTGTAAAAATTAGTTGATCGGTACACGGAGGAAAATGTCCCAACAAATTTCACTTTGAGACCTACTAAGTGTACGGTATAATGACAGGTGAATAATTTATATGAGGGAATTCATCCTCCCAGAATTAATCCTCGACGTTATGTATCTGATGATGTAATCTAAATGATAGGATATATTTCATCGGAAAGAAAAGAAAAAAGAGAACTTCGCGCAATTATGGCGATTGAAAAAATATTGTCTGGATTTTATAGCACGTACATTGTACCAGATCGTCGTGGTGTGCAGATTTCCTGGGGACAGCACCAACTGGACGAATGTCACTCTTCCCAATATACAGATGTAACTGATCATTTGATCTTTTTACCCTTCCGCCATCGCACTCCAACGCTGTACATGGAGAATATATCGATTCGGTGCATTCACAGATATTGCAATCGTTCTGGTAAATCACTCCAGGAATGCAATTCTCAATACCGGGCCCTTGATAATGCAAATTGTTAAAATAAGTATATTTACACTATTTACCATGTACTACGATTCATTCGGATTTTCTTTCCATGTATAGAGCGGATCATAAAAAATTGTCTTTACGCACATTGTGGATATTTTCGGACGAATTTCTCTGGGACAATTCCTGCTAGTCGAACTGATCTCTGACCTACGCATTCCATCACTGTACATGCGCCTATTCCTGCTGACGTGCAAATACAAATGTTGCAATCATTCTGATACTTCACCCCGGGAGTGCATTTCCCGTCGATCGGCCCTAGAGTGTGAAAATTATAAAAAATATCATATAACTCGTTCATTCAGTCCATCTAAAGATTTAATGAACGTTTTCATTCAATTAATTGTTTGCTCCTCGTTACTTACATTGAGGCAAACGATTCGGCTTTACAGGTCTTTGGGCAGCAACGACTGAGAAAACGAATTATTTCCCTTGATTCTATGTTACAAATAATGAGATTGATTTTAATATAACTTACCTGACACCGCAATGGTGATTGCAATAAATTTAAAAAACATGATTTCTTAGATAGCAAGGTCTGAATGATAACTCTTGCATTTTTTATTCTTCTGACTTTAAATACTCTTCGTGTCCTAATCTCATGATGCGATAGATGTACTGTCACTAATGATGTTTAAATATTTCAGCAGGGTCAATATTGAACGCGAATATAAAGATTTTTTTTTTATATCTGCAGATAAGAATGTTAAAGAGAGTTTACATAATAGAATAAAACATATGTATCGAAGGTAATGTCAAAATAATTATCCACAAATGAGAATTCATTCTATTATTCGAGATATTTTATTAACAATGCAAATGCAAAATTATCTCGTCGATTTTTTCCGAAGAACAAAAACGTCCGACAAGATATCTCTCACGACCTGATTATTCATATATGTGGGATAAGAATAATTATCTCATTAATTACAAATGAAAATTTTATTATATTTGCACAGATGTAATACAATCCATAATCAAGACATTATTCGCGTGGAAATTGGATAATTCTTTATTACTTTGGAGGATCTACACAGGCCATTAAAGTACAGACGGGCTTATTATCTTCTATACATCGACAGGTGTTACAATCATTCTTGTACATTAGCCCAGCCACACATGACAAATCAGCTGGCACTGGAATACGAGATAATTCAATCAAAACAGGTGATTTGGGAGTCATATGAAATGATCGATGTCAATTTCAATGAATAGGAGTACTTACACGCAGGGAGCTCCTCAGTTTTAATTGTTGTTGTCTCAATGTTGTTGAGGGTACCATCCTTGTTGAAAAGTCCTGGATAACAAGCCTGTCTTGTGCAAGCAGCGCCTGTTCCATCGGCACTGCATGTACAATCGTTGCAATAATGTTTGAATTGCGTTCCTGGCTCACAGGGTGAAGTTGATGGGTCCTGTTCAGCTACGATCACTATATGAAAAATAGTTAGAAGCTGCTGGTTGAAAATCATTACGATTGTATGTTAAGATACAAAAGAGCTGTTTTTGATGGAGCGAAACAGAAAACTGAAATAGATTCTCAAAGTTCGAAAGCAATGGGTGTATTTTATCAATTTTTCTTTCTCCATCGATCGTCTTTAAGTGGTATGTAGAATCAATTCGAATTGTTTTAGAATAATTGTTGGAACGAGTTCCAATTTATAATTGCTTACGCGTAATGGCAACGGCGAGAATGAAGGCTTTAGAAATCATTTTCAATGTTCGAATTTCTAATCCCACTGATAATTTATCTCAGCTTCCTGAAGTTTAACAACAAGTGATGATGGACCAGTGAGTAACTGCGGTTAAATACGAATGACCCCATGGCCCCAAAGTAGATGCTCTTAATCAGCCTAGAGATAGGCTGTTGGCTGGCGACTGACAATGGAAAATCCAACTTATAATCACTCTTATCCCAAAAGCTGACCCATTCGAAATGTCACATTGCGTTGCTTTTGCTCACATCTGGAACAAACATGTTTTCAAATGGGCGAGATTAATCCAAATTGTCCGCGGGTTCCGAGAAATAACAGTGATATGGATATGGAAAGCCGATACGGATCCGTGGAACGTATGTAATAGTAAGAATAATAAAATAATTAGCAATGCAATGTGAGGCCTGTGCAATCGCCTGCAGCTCGTGCTATAAACGTGTAAAGAAAAAATAGGGTACAATGCATATTTCGATTGTTTCTCCAATTGTAGTTCTTCATCACGATCTTATGTGGATTTATCAAGTGTTTATTTTACCTTGAGATAATTTCCAAAAATTGAAATAAAAAACAATAATATGTTGAAAAGAAATTATCAGAGAATTAACTTCATCAAGTGTACCCACTTCCACCCGGAGTTGTGTGCGAAAATTTTAATAATAGATAAAAAAATTCTTTAATGTCTATTTTTTTTTCAAATTACTGATGTTACTATCATTGCAATTTGAATTTGTCAATATTTTTTCGTGGTTACTCTCAATTCGGTATATTTCGGACATTAAAGGAGAACATATATTTTTTGTTCAGTTCCTTCTGCATTTGCACGAAAAATTCGGAATCAGCATTTTATCATGCGATTACGTGAGCTCTCAGATCATTTTTTGTAATCATGACCTGATTAAATCGAGAAAACTGTCCTCACAGCAGTTAGTACGCTTCAATTTCTGACACTGTAAGGTAATCCATGTGGAATTTAAGGGGTCAACATGAAGTACAATCGCGTTATAGTCGCACCTCTCCTCAATTTTTTTTTCGCCTATCTTTCGGTTTCCCTGAATTCGTAAATAATTAAACATCAGTATCCCTTTATTTATTAATTTTCTTTATTGATTGATTTATTCATTCATATACACCTGAAAGAACTGTAAATAACGGAAATATAATATTTATTTACGAAAGACAACACGAGTAAACAAGTTCAATAGAAAATCAAAAGAATCGAAAAAAATAGGAACTTCATTGAAATCTCATTTATTTATTAAAATAACAGTTCTTTTGAAACTTCTTACGGTATATACAGAGAAAAAATAAATTAACAACTGATTCAACAAAAAGATTGATCAATTCTAATTAACTAGTTAACAATACAGAATACGCATGAAATAACTCAATAGACGATGAACAATAAATAGATGCCATTTTTTCGGTTAATCAAGTGACGATTTGTGATGACGGCATGTTACACCGGTGCAAATTGCACTGTTGCCGTCAGCATTGCATTGGCACTGATTACATTGACTGAAGAATTGTGAGTTAGGCAGACACGGGCTCCCTTACCTGTAAAGAGCTGTAACAGACAATGATTCCGATTAAATTACGTAGAATGCTGGCGATTAGACCATATGGAATGAGTTGAACAAGTTAATTTTAGCCATAAGATGGTTCTAAAGAGTAATACCTATGATTCCAGTGAGGTTCTTCAATCTCTTTGGGATGTCTATCTTCACAGGGATTCGCAGAGCAAATTGGTTTGTTATCGACGCATTCGCAAATATTGCACGTCTTTCTATACTTACGTCCATGAATGCAGGTCTCATCATCGGGTACTGTAAAAGGAATAAAACAATATAGTGAGTTAAAAGGATGTTAGGCAATGCATCGAACTATGAAGGTAATACAAACAGTCTTCTAGGCCATAATCAGATTGATCTTCCCTTAGGGTTCCGTCTGGGTTGTAACGACCTGGAGCACACTTGTGTTGGGAACAAGATGCACCGTGACCGTGCGGGGAGCATGTGCATACATTGCAGAAGTAATTGAAGACTTTTTTGGGCTCGCATTTTTTGTCCGTTGGGAAATCATTTTCACCTGGAGAAAAATCATTTTGTTATGTCGTCGGTTAAATTGAAGATTATTATTGCAACGATTGGTATACTTTTCACTACTAACTCGGTGTAATGAGTGAAATAAATTCAATCGGGATAAGTGCGAAATGAAGCCACCCTACATACCATCTGCAATGCTATACGCGTTCTGCGGCTGAACAAGCTCACGTCCTTGACCTGAATGGATATGACCTATTCCGAAGGGTTGTACAGCATGAGCAACTCCGATTCCCTGGCCTGGTTCACTGAATTGAAGAGTCCCAGCGCCTTGACCTTGGTGCGCAACATTGTATGGCTGAGCTACATGAATTGTTCGAATTCCCGGAGCAGGTAGATGAATTGTTCCTCCGTGTGGCTGGCCTACTGGAATAGTTTGGGCTACTTGTGTTGACTGACTGGGATGATCCAGTTGAACAGTTCGCATGCTGTGAATTGGTTGACGGAGTCGAATACTTCCATATTTTCGAATTCGCTGAGCTAATGAACCAATTGGAATATTCGGTATTGATTGACCAACTCGAATACTTCCATGGTTCTGGCCTGGTTGTGCTACTTGAATAGTTGGTATTCCTTCAGATGATTGTGGTATCTGAATTGTTCCTTCATGTGGTTCACCTACGCGAATAATATGTGCCCCATGTGGTGACCGGCCGGGGTAAGGGAATGGAACAGGTCGAATGTTCTGAAGTGGTACATGGGCTGGAATACCTCCATAGTTGTGGATTGGGTG